TTTTTCCCTTTTTCTCTCTATTTCTGTGTTTTTGTTTCTGGATATTGGCTAGGTGAGTTGTTCTGTGATATTTGTCTATATCAGGATGAGGACTCTCTTTCTACAGCTGGGACCAAGGATTAATAGTTACTAGGTCAACTGGTTGTGAGTGTACGAGCAATAGTGCAATTTGTATATAAAATTTATTGTTTGGGCATTGTGTCTTTCTACAAATGGGTCTGGAGTCTGGTAGTTATCAGACCATTAGGCTGGACTCAGCTCAGTAGTCAGGAGATCACTCTGTATATAGGAATATATCTTGGGCACAACTGATAAATTAATCCCTGTTGGAGACCGTGATAACTGGAAATTTTGTTTTATAGTCTGATCGCTTTGTGATCTCTCTCTGGTGAACAGTAGAGAGCTATCTTCCGTTGGGTGGCATACCACAGAGAAAGGGAATTTGCTAGTCTTTTTGTTTGTCTTTTTTTAATGAGCTCAAATCAACGATGACAATGTTCCATGCTCCCTGGAAAGGAGAATGGCCCTTTGAGATCTGGACTAGTAAAATTTTGTGTTCTGTGTTTATTTTTGACCCATGGCTAAAGCTGTAGAACCAATACTACAAGCTTTTTTTGTGCTTGAATGACTACAATTGAGAAAAGTCTTTATCGCTAACTGTGTAAGTTTGAAATAACTTTCTACTTCCTGAGGGTATTAATAAATTTGATGATAAAACTTCTAAAATTAAAAGAATTCTTTGTTTATTAGTCCTTTTAAATATCTCTCTGCAATGTTTTCTAGTTTTCAGTACACTGGTCTTGCACGATTTTTGTCAAATTTGCCTCTAAGTGTTTCATATATTTTGGTATTATTGTAAATGATTTTTAAATTAATTTCAGCTCCCAGTTGTTTATTGTTAATATATAGACATGTCAATTGTTTTTGTATAGTGTTGATGTATCCTGTCTTGTTCCACTCCTTTGTTAGTTTTAATAGTCTTTTTGTGAATTACTTGGGTTTTTATAGAGTGCTGAGTGTGCCAGCCATAAATAAAGCATCTGTATGCCTCAGTTTTCCTATCTGTATGTCTTATTTTTCTTGCCTTATGGCATTGTCTAGAACATGTAAAACAATATTGAATAGAGGTGGTTAAAGTAGATATAAAAAGTAGATAGACAATTTTCTCAAGTTGTCCTTTCTTGGGGGAATATATTTATTATTTGATGATTAATTATGGAATGATATAGATATACAGATAATCGGATCAATATTACTTCTTTTTAAAAAATGTTTGGAGAAATTCAGCAAAACCATTTGAATCTGGAAATTTTTATTGGTGAATTTTAACTACAGATTCAACTGCTTCTGGGCAATAAGCTGGGGCAATTGTAGGGCTCACCTTATTGGTCTATTTTCTTTTAGAAATCATGGTCCTGTTCCATGTCTAAAAAATTATTGCTTCATATAATTTTGTTCCCTGTTCTAGTTTTTAGGGTGGGGTGGTAAGTCCTGTTTCTGCTACTACATTATTGTTAGAAGAGGTAGATTTTGGCTCATTCAGATACAAATTTTTTGTTAAAATGATTAAAATTTCACTTTTCCCCCAAACTTAAAAATGAGAAATTAGTCATGGAATATTCAATTGACTCTTAATAAGAATTAATATAAAAGGATATTCTATACTCATTAGGTAATATTGCCAGATAACAGGATCTTATACGTCAGCAAAGTAACTTTCTATGTTTTGTAATGGCTTTGTTATATCCTTAATTTGCTTTAAAAAACAAATGACAAAACTTCTCATTTCTGACCTGTTATGGTTTCTTACAATTGTATTTTCCTATTTCTTGTTTATTTTAAAACATTATAATATCATTTCAATGTATGTGCAGTTAATCTCAACCAGTATTAGCTCATTCATCATTCTTACATAACTGTGCTCCCATCTTAATCAAATGATCTCCCTCCTAATATCACATTTCATTTTCTCTTCATAAAAGTATGTCTTAAATTTAAAAGGAAACTATATCAAGATGTCTTGTACACTTAAAACTGTCTGAAATTTTCCAGATGAATATTAGAAAATCATAAAGACTTTATCTGTCACCTTATAAAAAAAGAGATGATAAAAATAATTAGGCTTCTTGGTATATTTTATTTTTCTTAATTAGCTTAACATTATTGTATGTGTTTCATGAGAAAAATTGTTAAACAAAAGAAGAACCTTTCTCTAGATTAATTTTGTGTGGAAAAACAATTATTAATGTTAATATATTTTATTAGTTGTGCACTTTGTAAGATGCATTGCAAACTTGTAAGTCTGTAAAATATTCTTACCTACAATGGAAACATGAATCTAATTCATTAAAAAGAGTTGTATATAATATTGACTTCAATAGAGAATTTTGCTCTTCTCTGCTATGATATCATTAATTACCATAATGAATTAACAGCCACTGAGTCTTAGCATCAGCAAGTTGTTTACACTTTCCTCTCATGCTTGCCTCATGAATTTTGTTGTTAATAAAGAGCAACCTCAGAATTTCTTGGGAAAGACTAAACCAGATACAGTTAATGTTATGGACTGAATTGTATTCCCCCAGTTTATGTGTTGAAATTCTAACCTCTAGTACTTCATAATGTAACTGTATTTGGACATAGAGTCTTTAAAGCGATAGTTAAGGTAAATTAAGGTCATAGAGATGGGCTCTAATTGAATACGACAGTGTCCTTATAGGAAGAGGAGATGAGGATACAGACACGTGGAAGAAAGACCATTTAAAGACAAAGGGAGAAAATGGCCATCTACAATCCAAAGAGAGTGACTTCAGAATGAAACCAATCCTGCCAATGCATTGATTTTGAACTACTAGTCTCCAGAACCGTAAGGAAGTAAATTTCAAGTGTTTAAGCCACCCATTCTGTGGTACTTTGTTATAGTACCCTAGCAAACCAATACACTTAATTATTGATGTGTTAATAGTACAGGCTTTCAGCAAACCTCAAACTTCCAATTTCGAGATCTGCAGATACTAATATATATAAAATAGATAAACAAAGTTTATACTGTATAGCACAGAGAACCATATTCAATATCTTGTAGTAACTTATGGTGGAAAAGAACATTAAAATGAATATATGTATATTTCTATATGACTGAAGTACTGTGCTGTACATCAGAAATTGACACAACATTGGAAACTGATTATACTTCAGTAAAAATACATAAAAAATGAATAAATATCTTCTCAACTTAATGCAAAAAAAATAGTGCAGGCTTTCAGATTACCTTGACTTGGACAACTCTGACTGAATTTGAAAAGTGAGGATTTCTAGAACTCTTCTCAATCCACAATGAGATGATTTCCTACGAAAGCAACTGCTGATCCAAGATCCAATGGAAAAAGTTAACTAGAATTGACGAGAAGGGAAGCAGAATTATGATTATCTTAAAATAGAATTGATACTGTGTTTAATGTTCTGTATTTTACTGGGTATTCTGGAAAGCCTGTTCTCCTTTTTCCTCATCTATCCTTTTGCCTCAACTTAATACCAAATGCTTCTGCAGCTTGAAATGAAACACTGTTTACATATTATGTCTTCCTTTCTGACCTCTCTGAATACAGAAACAGATGTTTTTACTATGTCCCTACTTTTCACGGCAAATGTAGTTATTTGTGTAGGTTCAATAAGAATCTGACCTCTTTTTTATTAGGATATAATTGGACAAATTGATTGCATAGCCAAAGACATGCTTGGAGGGTCAAGTTTGAAAATTCTGCTTACTCAATACCTTTACGATAAGACCATGACTAAAGAACAAGGGTTCTAAATCACATGTGGAACATATGCCTATAAAGCCCTCCCAGGAAACTAGTCGGACACCTTTTGTGCATTGATGGAGTCCCTGCATTACAGGTAAGAAGAAAGGTCATTTCTTTGCTAGTCAAGTGTGTTAGCAGATACTGGAGACCTTGAAAAGGGAGGAATTCACCCATATTTATGAACGGTGCAAGTGAAACCTAGTGAGAGAATTTCTTGGGCTTAGTTTCCTAGCTTACAGATAAAATAACAAATAATGGATGATTTTCAAATTCTATTCAGAGTCCAGGGTTCTTTATGAAATTTCAAGACAAAAGTTAATTTTACAACCTTAGTAACTAGCTCTAGATTTAATGATCAAAAAAGAAGTTTCTTTAGTTAAATAACAACTCTTGTTTGACTTGCAGAGAGTAATCAGACACATTATGAAACCAGATTTTTGTTATTAGGAATAATCTTTACAGATTATCTAGGGAAGACTATTAAGAAAACACATCCAAAACATGGAAATAAGGGGAAAAAGATGGCTAAGGGTCACTTCCATAGCATATTTCTTCACCCAAATTAATATTTAATTATATGAGTATGCAGCTTTGACCAGCTGTATGCTACTGAGTAGAGCACAGACTCTGTGAAGTTACATGTCAGTTTCTGACTTTTGTCCAGTAGAGATGTAAACAATTTATGTCTGGTAGAAAGAGATGATCTCAAAGGTTGTGAGTTAACTGTCTGTAGACCATTTTCCAGTTTTGTCTTTAATTTGGCAAACTTATTTTGGCTTATCTTTGCTGAGGAATATACAAACTTCTGTTCCTCAAAGTGCTCTTGGAATAAGTTTCACCATTCTGCTAGTTCTCTCATGAATTAAGTAAATTAATCTTTGATAAACATTCACTCTCTATCAGTACCAAGTTTTTGTCATTTTGAAAATTTAACTTGGACATAGCAGAAATATTGACGTCATGCTGTTCCCTCTGTAAAATCATTAAATATTCACCTTGATCACAGTAACCCATATGCTTTGTGTTAAATTGCATCCCCTCAAAATTAACATGTTAAAGTCTTAATCCCCCTGTTTCCACAAACGTGAAGGTATTTAGAGATAGTGCCACTGCAGGTGTAATTAGTTAAGATGACATCATCAGGGTGGGTCCTAATCCAACATGACTAGTGTCCTTATAAAACGGGGAACTTCGGACACAGATACACATACACAAGGAGAATGCTGTATGCAGATGATGGCAGAGGCCAGGGAGATGCTTCTACAAGCCCAGGAATGCAAACCATCGCCAGCAAACCACCAGGAAAGCACGGTGGGAGGCATGGAACAGATCCTCTCACAGCTCTCGGAAGGCATCACCCCTGCTAGCTTCTTCAGCTTGGACTTCCAGCTTGCAGGCATGTGAGACAATACATTTCAGTTGTTTCAGGCAGTCAGTTGGTGGTCCATTGTCCAGGCAGCCCTAGAAAACTAATACAGCATGGATGTCATGAAAGAACTGCTTTGCATCTGATACTGTAAAGTAAAATGCTTGACTCTGTGAGTGATAATGAAGTTTTAAAGTGTTGTTCTTATCCCTGACTTAGGATTTATGTGGTGAGATACAATATGGTCTGGAAAAATCAACAGAATTCAAGAGAAGATGGGGTGAAGAGTGATTCACAAATTGTTTAAAGGGGCTGACCCAACAGCTGGAGCAGATCAAAAAGAGGAAATTACCTACCATGGTACAGCCCTGGAAGGGATAAATATGGCACAAGTGTTGATGAGAGCCCAGAACTGTTACGGCATTGAAGTGAACGTGCTCACCTACAGGTGAGGGGAACGGGCTGAACATTTCAGACCCAGAGCAAGAACAAATCCACAGCCACAAGGGAAGTGAGGAAGGACAAAAGGAAGTTAAAAGAAGGTGAGTAAAGCATTAATAGAGAAGGGGGAAAAGATGAAACTAATATATATGAAGTAACTATTATTTGCTAGAAATTGTTCTAGATTAAAAAAAAGAATTTCTCTCATTCAATCCTCAAGGCAGCCATGTTAAATATCATTTCACAGTTAATAAAACCGAGGTTCAGAGAGGTCAAGTATGTTGCCCCAGGCCACAGAAGGCTTGGCTAATTAGTGGGAGAATAGTTTTGAATTTAGGCTGTTCTGGCTCCCAAATGCATGCCCATTATAATGCCTTCCAATTACTCTCATCATATTATAATATCAACATAAATATTACACTAGTGGCCTAACATTAGCTATAGTTATGGTAGTTATTAGTGCTGCTCACTAATTTCATCACCTCCTAGGCCATGGAAGACTGAACTTTCAGGCCCCTTGTGACAGAGTAGGTCATGGCTTGGTTCTGGCTGGTGACTCTGGCTTCTG